CATTGCCCAAGAGCTAGTTATGTACGAATGATACCGGGCAGTGATGCCCATTAATATATAAAGAAACAAACATTCATGATATGTTGGGTATAAATATTCAGTGTCATTCTGACAACATTCGTTTTGAACCAATTTCACGCTTTTTATCCTCTTTATCTGCAGCATTCATCCTCCTGTCATATAGGATTCTACCTTTCGCTTTCTTGCCATCCTTTTTTGTGTTCGTTATTTCTTTTTTTTTGCTCAGCAACTTTCGTTATCATATCTATTTTCCAGAACAATTGCTGGCTGCGTAGGTGCAACCACTGATAGTTTATTAACAGCTGTTCAAAGTATTCTGAGAATGGGGTCGTTGTCACGTTTATTTTGTACATTTTTAAATGCAATATTTTGTACGTTTTTTAAATTTTTTCATGAAATTTTGTAATTCCTGTCCGAATCACTTGAATTAGAGTAGCTGCTAAGGTCCGTTGGAATGCTGAGATCCATAATAAAAATTAAACAAGGATTTCGAGCAAAAGCTGCTACTTGTGTTTCAAGATAATGCATTTTTTTTTTCAGAAGCACGAGAATGAATTCGATGTAATTTTAACAGATTCATCGGATCCAATTGGGCCAGCCGAGATTCTGTATGAAGAAGAGTACTACAAGTGTTTGGAGAAAGCACTTCGACCCAAAGGAGTGCTTGCCTCGCAGGGTATCTTTCTTGCTTATTCTTTTTCTGATGGAATGGTTAGGGATCTGAGTATAAAAAATTACGGGGAAGCAGCTCAAGGCATACATAGACGCATACACGCGCGTACACACACATACACAAACATTATTCGTGCGACACGAGACACACATACACACACGCACACACAAACATCCTTCGTGCGTTACATTGCACGCGTATATATACACACAGTCTCTTCGTACGGCACAAGGCATAGGTACATACACACACACGTACATACACACACACACACAATCTGTTCATAACAAGCGTTTTTTTATTGCATGGATGCATTCGTTTGCAGGCGAATGTCCGTGGCTCGATATTGCGCTAATTAAAAGCCTTTTCACAACTGCATCACAT